AGAGGAGAGCTGAGGACTTGAGCCAGAGGGAGAGGCAGCGCTGTCCTGATCATCAAAGGACAACAAAAGCCGGTGGACGTGCGTGGTATCTGCCCAACCAGTCTTGGCTTGGTTCGCTTGTGCTTCTTGCTTGCTTCTTGCTTGTTGTGGTCGAGGTGGTTCGAGGAAAATGGCCACCAAACACCAACTCATTCACAACAAACAAAAACCAACAACGAAACCAACCAGCAGACTGCTGGCGTTTTCTCTTTGCTTGTTTTCCCCCCCATCCATGCTTACGTCCACGCTTCTCAGCATGTATGTTTCGCACAAGAAAGTGTGAGAATTTTGCAGGTGGCGACGATCCACCAGTCCAACTTGGCGCACGAGCAACAGCAAGCAATCAGTCATCCGAGCCTTCCAGAACTTCCAGAATGATCGCGGAAACTTCGCCAACGCCACCGACCGCCGCCAACACACATAAACACACAAACGCAACAGCCTTTTCTTGGCTGTGGGCTTGTGGGCGGGGGTCGTAGCAACGCTGCCGCCAACGTGGTCGATCGTGGTCTTGGGGGACGTGGGCACTGCTGCACGTGCTGGTGGTGGAAGGGGCACTGAGCACGGTCGAAAAGCCTGGGCACAGCCCGAGCCGTGGCATACCCGCCGCACGTTGGCACTAGGGCATCGACGGTGTACGCATACAAAGTCCATGCGTCGCCAAGCAACCAGCTCTGTGGTGGGTGTGCAAGATGGCCAGTACAGCCGTGCACATGGGAGGCATTTCTCAGGACGTTCCCGTTTATTGACCTGGCGCCCATGGCTCTGCTGAGGGCGCGGCAGGGAGAACCAAGAGGGGAGGAGGAACAGGCCAAGGAGGAAGAAGCAGAAGGAAAGGGCGCCCCAGGGGCAAGCAACAGGCAGATGCAAGAGACGAGAAGACCAGGGCACAGGGGAAAGGGATGACAATGGGGGAGAAGACAAAGAGAAAGAAGGTGGTGGAGGAGGACCAGGCCAGGCGTGGTCCTGGTGCACCGGTCCCCCGGAGGAGTAACCCCCCCCGCAGGGGTGGTGCTGAGGCGAACGCGCACAAGCGGGAGGAAAAGAAGCAGGTCACCAACA